CACTGGCATTCACAACTGTCTTCTTCAAAATATAGCCTGGGCCGGTCAGGCATCCAACTACAACAGGGTGTGTGTGTGTGTGTGGGGACAGAAGGAAGGCTGGATGGAAAGGCAGACTTGACTTTTTACAAAGACAGTTCAAGAAAGTTTAAAGAAAAATATCCATATATGAAGGGCGGATTAATATGTTGTCAGAATCACTGGACAGACACGTTTCAGACAGGGAAAAGTCACGTGAACGCCTGCTTGAAAAGTCAGAAAATTTGGTTATGAGTGTTGCTGAGAAACATGGCTGATGAAAATAAATATTTGGCTGATCATAGGAAATTTTTAATTGAAAATCTTCCTACATTTTCTTTGTAATATTAGGTGATAACTGTTAGACCATTATCAGATAGAGATGACTGAAGTCCTTTATGTATAAAAATGACTGAAAACCATGACCACCAGGCATATATATGGACATAAAATATATTTTTACAGGACTCTGTGCAGTCCTGTGAAATAATGAGTACATCTTTCCATGAGGGTAAGTAGTAGCCAGGTGCTGCTAATCAAATACTCTTGATTAAATAATCATCACTAATCAAGTGTGAACAGCTCTGTAAACGCAGACATTTTAACAATTTGATGGTCTGGAGAATTTGGTTGTTTTACCACAATGCCGCAGTCGACATCCAAGTAAATTCACCACAAGCTCAGACTAAGCAGTTCTCAGAGAAACTCCAAAACATGGCAGCACAGCTTAGGTTTGCAAAGGTGCATCTGAACAAACCACAAAACTTCATGAACAACGTCCTTTAGACTGACAGAATGGACATGTCAGACCATAACACACAGCACTACGTTTAGAGAAAAGCAAAGACAGCACATCAGCATAAACACCTCATACCACCTGTCGAGCATGGTGGGGGATGCGTGCTGATTTGGGTTTGTTTTGCAGCCGCAGGACCTGAGCACTTTGCAGTCGTTGAGACAACTATGAATTCCTCTGTATACCAAAATATTCTAGAAATAAATGGCTGTGTCCCCCACAGCTAAAGTTTGGCTAAAACTGGATCATGTAAAAGAACGTTGAGCACATGCACTGCAGCAAAACTGCAACAGAATGGCTGAAAAAGAGAAGAATCATGCGGTTGCAATGGCCCAGACCTCAACCTGCCTGAAACGGCGTGCATAAACAAGTGCCTGCAAACCTGAATGAAATGAAGAAAAGCGGTAAAGATGAGTTTGCCAAAATTCTTCCACAGTGATGTAAGACACTGATAAAGTCATACAGAGATTACGTCAAGTTATTGCTGATAAAGGTGTTTTTACAAGCTGCTGAATCATGGCATGTATTTAGGTTTTCACAGAAATGCAGAGAGTCATGTGAAAACGTTCTTTTTCAAGACTAAAATATACAATAGAGGGACACATAGAGAAAAAACACAAGACACATTCGCGTTTAAAAAACACAAAAAAAAAAAAGAAAAGACACATGAGAACAAAAAAAAGAGAGAAAAAAAACCTCAAAACTGGAAATTTGTCCAACTGAGCAGCACTTGCATGCAACACAAAATCCAACCGGGGTTTTGATTTATCCCAGAGAAGGAAGTGCATAAATATTCCAACAAATCTGTTAATTCCAATGAAGTTTTCATCTGACACGGTTAAGAATGTTGATGTTAAGTGAAGATACGTTGGCAGGTGCAGGCCTAATCAAGTTTAGCCTGGATAGACATGATCCACCAGCAATGCTATTAGTACGAATTTCCAGTTTAACTGTAGGTCTCATTCTCTGAATATGCGGAAATCTTTTCCATTCAAGCACCAACCTCAAGCCAAAATGTTAGCTTTTCATGCACTAGCAGTCTAATAAGTGCAATGCATTCAACTAAGTGACCTTATGACCTTTATTCTAGTGCAGAGTGGAGAGGCACCAAAAAATAAGTGTCTAATATTAATTCTGTTTATTTTCCACGTTCACATCAGAACTGACCTCGTGACCTTTCCTCTGTTGCCACCTTCAGGGTAAATCTTAAGCTTTCGGGCCTACAGCTGGTACAGCACTGAGAGTGGAGGAATCCTATTATTCTCAGTTTTCATTTTTGGGGGTGTAATGAACATTAGGGGCCACTTCAGGGGATTAATCTTTTTACATTGTTGAGTCTTGAGTCTACTGCTATACTCACATGGCAGTGTACGCGCTCCCTGGGGGGCACTTATTGTGTTCACTCCCCTTTCTCCTGCTGTGCAGAGCTTTGTGCTCTCTTTTAGGGAGCGACAAGGTCAGGGCCAAAATTCCAGATATTAATGCTGTACATATTCCACATTCACTCAGTCTCTTCCACTTGAGGTGGCAAACTGTAATATTTCCTTAGCTACACCCTTAGTCTTAAGATTAGTCAGGGAGTTTCCATCGTTCTGTCCAACACCTTCATATTGGGGGTGTAATGAATATTAGAGGCCACTTGAGGGGATTAATCGTGTTACACACACACCATAGCAAACAGGCAGTTAACTTAACTCTCCTGCTATACTCTTATTGCAGTATACCCTCTCCCTGGGGGCAAGTTATTATCGTCTCTCCCCCTCAATGCTGTGCAGAGCTTTGTGCTTTAATGTTGGGAGTGACAAGGTCAGATTCCAAATATTAATGCTGTACATACTCTCCACTCACATAATCAGTTCCATATTTTGCGCAGGGGTTCACAAGGTCTGGGAGAAGGCATGTGATTGGGCGCCACGCAGGAAAAACGCATACATCAAAGAAAATAATTCCAAAATAAGTGATTTATTTTAAACACTAAGCTGCCCAAAGTTTTCACAGGAGTAACACACCGGAGAATCTGCACAGAGGTCTGACACAAGCTGTTAGCGGGCGCAGTTTGACACAATAATCCAGTAATAAAAGCAGGCTGCCGCGACAGCCTTTATTTTCCACCGTGCCCGTGATGGACGGAAAAGTCAGTAATCGGTCTGTCGCCAGTGTTTTGTGTTTCAAAGTGTGACTTTTAATTATTCTTTGAAATCTTTGGGTTCAAAGAATGGTTGTTATTGTATGTTTCTGTTTTTGGGATATTAACACCAAATGTTTGCTTTAATACTGCTCTGATGTTTCTTAATGGGAACTGGGATTCAGTCAAAGATCCTGTATTTCCCATTCATGCCCTCAGTTTGTTTTCTCTTCTATTTAATAAAAGCTTGCAAAATTTTACCTCATACCATGAATAATTTCTAATTCACAGGCCCTCAAAATATGATGTGCACTGGAATTTTGCACCATTATATTTTTCTTCATATCCACACTTAGCTTTCAGGGTGAAAAACACATTTTTCACAGTTTAAAACTGCAATCAACTGCATCGAAAGCCAGAAGCTACCATTCTACCGTTTGCCCTCAGGGAGCACATTAATAATCCTGATTTTAGTTAAGGTTCCCTGCTTCGTTCTACAAAAAAAAAAGTCATTTTGTATCTCAAATCTTTGCAAGCTGTTCATTTTTTTCCAGCACTTTCATATTTTGTAGTAATTAACATTGTGACCTTTTGGGGCCGTTGGCCAGATTTCAACCTTGTTCTTGGCCGTCGTCACCACAGAAAACAAAGCAAATAATGTCATTACCGCCTGAGGTGCATCTCTTGTTCAGACTGCAGCGATCAGAGGTCATGTTTTCTTTTGCTTGGCTGCAGGTGGTTCATAAGGAGAGGGTCACCTTGGAGTCCCAGCTGGAGCTCCTGCGGCCTCTGGCTTCGACATGACTGAGCCTGAAGTCTGATCGGAGTCACCTTCCCGTTCTGTCACAGGGGCGTGCATCGGTTTCTCTATTAAACACAAATGTTTAAGCCAAGACACAAGTGGTTGTTGTCTGACGATGGAAGCAAAGTGCATTTTTGACTCAACGGACAGGAATGCTACTTTTCTTGAATTATCAGCTCCAGCTCGAGTCCATGTGTTTGTTTGCATTATTGTTAAAGATGCTCTGCAGGACTAAACCATGTGTTTTTAATCACTGTATAATATGCACATGTACAATGTTTTCTTTATGACTTTCTAACTTATTTGTGTTGTGGTTCACTGTTAGGTTCTCTCATAAATCTTGTATGGTTTACAGGACGTGTTTGCACATCTATCCATGATTATGAAAAATCGTATTTTCTGTCCAGCCCATCTTCTCAGATTTCATGTTTTTCTACACACCACATTTCATCTATATCCACACACACACACACACACACACACAATAAAACAAGCGATGGTGCTACAGATTGCTTTCTCGTTCTCGTTCTGACGAGGAAAAAAAAATAAAAGTGCACATTTCAAAGGATGGCAAAAAATAAAACATTAGATGTGGAATGAATCTGATTTAACAAAAACCTTTTGAGCGTCCACAAAAAATGTGTGTTTTGAGGACTGTATCCGTAGCACATGTGACGAATGTCGACACTGGATTTGTATGTAATATGAGCATTTTCATGTAAAGTTGCTACATGTTTGATGTAAGTGTTGCCTGACATCTTTATGTTTGTTATCATGCAGAGTTGGGCTTGATGATTATCTGTTTAAAAAAAAAAAAGATTTCACAATGTCAACAGTTATTCTTCACAATAATTGCGATTTCATAAATTGCCTAAATCTACATCTGCTGCGAGTTTTTTCTAAACAGCCAATCTGCTGTTATAACGATTTTTATAATATTATAGGCTAAAAAAAAGCAAAACCCAAATCAGTATTAACGGCTAAAAAATGAAATAATAAGCACAATAATCATCTAATAGTCATGATAGATTTGAAGACTGGCTGAAAAAGCAGGCATGGTCATGTGTTTATTGCTTTTTTTCACACTACTGTTGGATCATGATTGTGATAATGAGATGGCAAGCCTGAAACTGCATGATTGTGTTAAACTTATGTGAGAATGTAAATGAATCTGAAACTGTGCACGACTGAGCTCTGGTCTTTAAGACAACAATGGAACGAATCAATAAAGTCTATTTTTGTTGCTTGAAATGATTTTATTACCACTGGTTTGCTGTATAAAGATGCCTCAACAGCTCCACTAAATTTGGATGTATAAACAGATGTCTGAGAAACCGTTATCACATCTTGGGTATGAGGGCAGGAGAGATCAAACGGGCAGCAGTCATAACTTTCTGGCAGTCATAAAGCAGCCGAGCTTTTCTGTGACACAGACGACACAACTGAGGGTCACCCAGATCACTACCGATGGCTGTATTCCCAGACCCTCTGCTGCTGCCATCCCAAAATATCCTCTGACACACTTGGCTCTCATTAAAGACACACCACCC